GCTGAAGCTGAAACTCCAATACTTTGGCCACCTCATGGTAAGAGTTGACTCATTGGAAAAGACCCTGATGCTGGGAGGGATTGGGAGCAGGAGGAGAAGGGGACGACAGAAGATGAGATGGCTGGATGGCATCACTGACTCGATGGACATGGGTTTGAGTAAACTCCAGGAGTTGGTGATAGACAGGGAGGCCTGGCGTGCTGCGATTCATGGGGTCGCAAAGAGTCGGACACGACTGAGCTACTGAACTGAACTGATACTTAATACTTTAGTAAATGTCCTTTTGCACAGTGCTTCTATATTTATTGATTTCTTAAATCAGGATTACTGGGTCTAATTAAGGTCTAACAGACATTGTACATTTAAGGGTCTAGTAGATACTGTAAATTTACTTTAAAAAGGGTGCAGAAAGTTACATTCCAGCCAGAAATACATACGAGTGTCCTTATCCCAAGAGTAAAATCACTGGACATTAGAATTGTTTTTCTTCTTGATAGAATATAGATTTAAAATTTTTCTTTTTTTAAATGAAAAATGTTTTGACTTCTAATGCAGTTAAGAATTTTTTTAGAAATCACATGTTTACATTTTCTCTATTTGAGGAGTTTGGAGATATTTTCTTGTTGAGAATGGTGGGTTAGAGTGGGCGCTAACACAGTGTATAACAGGGTCAATTTCATTGACACCTTTCACTGCTTCCTAGGGTCTACCCTCCTCTGAAATTGCTGCTTCTGTTCCCACAGGGAGCCCACTATAGCCACTAATTATCTTTCACCATTCTGGTGTATGTTTCTGAGTTTTACGTTCACTTGTTCATTCCTATGCCCACTTGGCTATTTTAACAGTCCATCTTTTCCTTATTTATTTGATATAGCTCTGTGCAAACTAGGCCATTAGCAATTCACTATAAAAAGTATTTAAAGAATTATACAGGTTACTGTTTTACTTACTAATCTACCCAATTTGAACAAAATTGTATTTAATTTCAATCATATTAGCCCATTGTAACAATCAATACCCTTAGTTTCTTTCTCTTTTTGCTTTTAGAAAAGTGCTCTATTTACCACCATACATTTTCAGTATAATGCTATAATAAGTTAACTCCAGAATAATAGTGATTATTATTTTATTAAATAACAGCAAAGGAACTATAAAGATTTAAACAGCCTTATATGCAAGTTAAAAACTTTCCAACCTCAGATAAGGATTTTTATGAGAGGAGGGGGGAGAGAAACGGGCTTTCTGTCAAGAGTTTTAATTTCAAAACCTAAATGGAATTTCAAAATACAAGTAAATAAATGTCAAAGCCTCTTGGCCTCTGCTCTGCCATTCTACGCCTGAAGTCCAGCCAAAATGAAATTTTCCATTCAAGAAGAACTGGCACTTACTAAGCTGATTTTTAAAGACTCACTTTTAAAAGTAGTGGAAACTTTGTGCAACTTTGGACGTTCCTCTCTGTGAATAGAACAGCTGCCTCTGTAGACATTTTCCACAATGGTAACGTTTTCTGAAAAACGCATTTTTAGCTCTTTCAATGTCTTCAGCCACTGGGTCTACTGGTTTTTCCCTGTGCCAAGCATAGAAGATAAACAGTAACCAAACTACAAGCTAGTGTCTCACTAAGTATCAGGGCACAAAAAGAACAGAGAGAAAAAGGACAGGAGAGAAAGAGAGAGGAGGGAGAATAGTCTGACAGTCCATTTGCTATACAGAAAGATTTATCTCAAAACTGCTCTTTCACCAAAACTGAGCTGTAGCCTGGCTTCTCAGCTTTTTCATGTATCATCATATTCAATTGCTGCTAAGATCACACAGTTAAAAGCTGAGCTCGCTTAAAGAATCCAAAGGGGAAATATGGAGCCCCTGCAATACGTAATCAAATCCGAGGATTAAGTCTCCGCTTCTGTTTGTCAGTCCTGCCTAGGTGGGGAGAAGCGGCAGTGTTTTGGGGTGCCTATGAAAGAGTGAAGTTTTGGGAAATGGAAACTAAAAGTGTCAGCCAGCGAAAACCTGCAGCGTTCGTAAAGGAAGCTTTAAAAAATTAATAAACTATGGGATGCATCTAAGGTACAAATGAACATTACAGAATGTTGTGAAAAAACTGAAATCCATTTTACTGTTTGTCAGTCTGAAAGCAGTGACTTGCAGCAGCGAGCAAAAGTTCCTAGTTTGTCTTTAACACTTTCTCACACCTCTCCATAATTCTCTTCCTTTTCTCTTTTGCAGCTCTTCTCATATGCAGTGTACCCTGGAATTAACCCCGAGTCTTCCTTTGATTTCTAACTCCCCTCCCCCCCGCGACACCCCGCCCCCGCCCTTTATGCTCCCAGACCCAAGCCTACTTTTCCTCATCTTCTAATATTTGTTGGTTTATGAGGCTTGGAGGAGGTAGCGAAGCAGAAGAAAGTTTTGTGGTTTGGAAAACTTGGGCCTTTGTCGTGCCATTTCCCCTACCGCTCCCCGCCCCCAACCACGTGACCAAGACAGGCCGGAATTTTGTGAATGGAGCTGAAAGGTGGGTGCAAGGGAGGGAGAGGCTCCACCTCCTTCCCTAAAGCGGCCAATCTCCTAGCGGAGCGCTGCGGGGTCAGCAATAAACAACAATGGGCTGGGAACAGACGGTACGTTATTGGCTGCGGAGAGAACCTCGCGGGGGCTGAGCCCGAAGCTCCGCCCCCTCCTGTTACCCTGGTTACCCGTCCGGCTCCAGCCACAGAGAATGTCTTTGGAAACTGTTGCCCAGATTAGAGGGGCTGGGCTATCCCAGGAGTGTTGGGCGGCCGGACACGCTTGCCGCTTGATTGCACCCTCGGAAAGTTCCGGAGAGCCTCACTGTGCCGGCCTAGAGGCCATGCTGCGCCCAAACCTCTCCCCGGCCGGGGTAAACGTGAGGTTCCCGCTTAAAATACTTGTAGGTGCGCGCCTTGGGACAGGCTAACTCTGATTTACTGCTTTTGAAGAACTCACGGTGTGTGCCCTTGCTGTCCACAGTTATTGGGTGTTTCCCCAGTATTAAGGTTTTTAATATTATTATTAAAAAAAGAAATTGACCCTTGACTTCCATGGTTCCGGAGTCTTGTGCGCTCATACCGCAGTTTAATATGGCTCCATAATGTTCCATTTAAGGGAAAACTTTAAGTTAGAAATTGAGAGTTGCAGCATGTTTCCCAACGGGCTGAACAGCTGCCGAAAACTTCCTTTGGTCTTGAGCTCTGGTCGCCACCAGGATCACAAATGAATTTTAACACCAATGAGTCCCCGGTGCCATTCCGAGGCCTCTCAGCCCCGGTTGGGCCGAGGCTTTCTTAAGTGACTCTTTACAGCTCTAAGCCCAGTTGGAGGGTCAGGCAAGTGGTTTCAGAATTGCAGCCCTCCCTTTTTAACGTCCCAGTCTTTGTCCTTGAAACCCGACTCGCCTTCTCCCCTCGCCACCAGCTCCCGGCTCTGGCAGTTTAGAAACTGGAGAGGAAGTGAAAGCGTCCAGGACAGTAAGTGACACCCTCCGCCTCCGTGTATACACAACAAAAGCTCAGGAAAGGTGCGCGTTCCTAGGACTTCCGAGCCACCCAACCCATCCCTGCCCCTCCCCACCTCCCCCGGGGACTCGGAGCACCAAGTTGCAGCGCACACGTGGGACACATTCGATTTTGTACTTTTCCTCACTTACATAGCTCTGCAGTTCTCTCAATTCCCTCTCCCAACGCAACCCCTTCTAAAAAGCAAACCCTCTGCTTCTCCCAAGGGCTTTCCCCACAGATTTTTACTGTCCATGAAAGACTGACTTGAAGATGACGTTAAAAAAAAATGTTTTTGATACACCATAACAGTGATGGTGGGCGCTGAAAACCGGCAAGAGAACTTGGGCCAAAAGCTTACTTAGTAGGAACGAGGCTGTATTGCGAGGTGGGTATCAGGTTCAAAGTGGAGGGACTGGAGATCTCGAGGGAGGTGAGGTGGGAGACTAAGGACGCAGGGTCTTGGAGGATAGCGCTTCAGAGTATATATCTGACGCTAACGAAAGTGCTTTAGGAAAGTGCTTCAGCCCGATAGTGGACCAAACACACCAGTTAGGCGAACTGGCGACTCGATACACATGGCTTCGGTGTCCCCAGGCGCCTTAATAATAAGCAGCGGGTTAGAACGGCAGTCCATTTGCTCTGTGGAGTTCCCAGGCTGTGGGCACAGCGCCGGCAGGCACGGCACCAGCTTGGGCAGAGGGGCGCGGGAGATTCACGAGAAGGGGCAGCGAGCCTTCTGATTGACAGCCCGAAATCTGATCCTGTGAAAGAGACGCGGAGCCAATGGGAGGCAGCGATCCATCAGTTTGGATTGGAGGCCCCTGGAGGAGAAGTAGAGGAAAAACCACCGAATTGAGCTCTGTCAGAGGCGCTTTCGGCTTCCAAAGGGGAAGTGCTGGGCAATAATTAATGTTTTTATTAAAATTGGAGGGAATTTTTTGCAGCCGTTCGCCTAGCGTGGCTTTCAGGTGGGTCTTTCCAACAACTTTTTATGTCTCTCCAGATAATTGCATGGTTGTGGGTTGCAAAAACTATCCTTGTGAAAGAGGTGTCTCCGTCTCTTTAGTCCCGTTAGGTGCAAAGCAAGTCTCGCTGATCGCCATTGCTAGCTTTGCACACGTTTGCGAATCAGAGCTGCCCGGGGTACACCGACCGCGCAGGGAAACATCGAGAGTGAAAATAAATACATCGCCTCTTGTTCGAATTTTTGCTCCTGAGGAAAATATGTAAATTGTGAACTCTCTTGGCTCTCTTTGGATCCAGGTGAAGGAGGCTGTGTAGGGAGGGTTATTTTTGTGAATGGGACTGTCGGAGGATAATTAGCTATGCAAATTCAAGAGCTTCATTCATGATTTTTTTTTTTTTAAGCCTAAAAGCCATCTTGTTCCCCTCTAGGTTGATAGAAGTCCAGATCCCGAGGAAATCTCCAGCTAAATGCTTAAAATATAAAACACTGAGCTGAGATTTGCGAAGAGCAGCAGAATGGATGGATTTTATGACCAGCAAGTGCCTTACATGGTCACCAATGTGAGTGATCAGTTCGAAAGTTGCTGTTTATAAACTTGACTCCGACGGAGGGGAGAGGGGGGAGGAGGCCGAGTGAGAAGGGAGGGGGGGGAGCAAGGGGGCTGGGACTGCAGATACTTTATCTGCTTTGTTGCCACTGTAGGGCGACTCTGCTTCTAGAAGCCCAGTCTTCAAAATGAGCTTACCTTTCAGTGATTTGGATAAGGCATAGTTTTGTTTTTAAGACCCCCCCCCCTTTTTTTTTTCTGTTTAAAGTGCTCAAGATGAGTGGAAGAGGAGAAGGAGGGCAGCAGTAGCTGCTGCACTCAAAGTTTTTGGCTGGGTTTGTCTGCCACATTGAAAAGAATGAAGTTGAGACAAATGCTGACACTTTTTTGTTTACATGGGTTTTGTTTCCTTTTTTTTTTTCTTCTTTCTCATTGTCTCTCTTATATTTTTCATTTCACCACTCTCTTTTTGTTCTTTTTTTAGGGGATTATCTGAGAGAATAAAATTCAACTGTTTTAATCTAGCTCTGATATAGCTAAAAATGACTTTTAAGTGTAATTGCTTAATGTTGTTTTGATGCTGAGATACCATGAATCTATGACTGATACACAGTGTATTCAGATCCGCACAGGGAAGCAACCCTCCCTGGCTGTTGAATTCTCAGCAAACGCTTTCACTGTCAAATGAATGCAGAAAGTGGATATTGGGATTGATACCATGGACTTTTATTTTTCTGTTTAAGGAGAGGATCCAGTAGACTTATGTATGCCTCTGTGTGTGTGTGTGTGTGTGTGTGTGTGTGTGTGTGTGTGTGTGTAAGTGACATCTGAGGTTTACATTCTTTTTAAAGAATTTTATCTTTCCCTTTGTAGAATCAGCGTGGGAGAAATTGTAACGAGAAACCAACAAATGTCAGGAAAAGAAAATTCATTAACAGAGATCTGGCTCATGATTCAGAAGGTGAGGTTTGATTTAGAGCTGAATTCCCCCTCTTTACCTGTACTTCCCACCCTCATAAAGAAGAGAAGCACTCAGTCTTACCTTAAGAATAATAAACTTTTTTAAATGACTGCATTTAAGCAAGACTTGTATTTGGAGCAATTAATGTGATGTGGCAGTTTGCTGTTTTATGGCCCTGTCAGAAACTAATGAAAGAAGGAAATAATAACTTAAGAGTGACATCTTTCTTTTAACCATTTTGTGTTTAAATACCTTTGTCCATGTGGCATATAAGTAATCCCATACACTAAGGTAACAATTTGAAAATATCCAACAGAGAGGAACAAATTAGACAGCTATGCACACTGCTTAATTACTCTTTTTCTCCTGGGTTAGAAGTTGAGCAATATAAGTGACTGCTTGGTTTCCCATCTCCTTACACTAAACCGTATACTGTTACCAAACTTTTCAGAGATGGTTTTGATGACCGCATGGTGAGGTCATAATATCTTATTTGTAGGCCTTTTAAGTGGTCAATGAATCATAATTAGGGCCCAATTAATAATTATAATACATATTTAGGAAATTAAGTTGCAGATTCTTTTTATGAACTGTTGATAGGAGGTCAATATGCTATCAATTATTCCAACAGTATGGGGGCATTCATAATAAACTTAATAAACTTAGATTTAATTATCAAAGTTCAGTTTGCCCTTTATATTAGGTATATTGAATTCTGAAACTTCTTTAAATCTTCATGTAAGTAGGAATAAGTTACACATACCTCTCCCTCCCCAGTGACACAATACACAGTTTTGGACTTGATAATAAACAGGTACCAGGGAACTATTTACTTTTTTAACCCTATTAGAAATTTTCTTCTAAAATCTTGTATTTAATAGTTGTCCCTTTGAGTTTTGAGGCATTGAACCTCAAAACATATAGTACTTTGAGAATTATACCATGTACTGTTAAATCTTTGATAGAAGATTTGGAAGATAGAAAGAAAGTGTTATTCAGTCTTTCTGATTTTTCCCCTAACACTATTTTAGCAAGAATTGAATATGTTTAAAAAAGGTTTCTGAGGATAGACACACCTTCATCTCAGCCTTTTTGAGTTCTACTGTAAGTGTGTTGTTTGAGGTCCCTAGGCTTATTTTTTAAGCTATGTGTTAAAAGGGGGTAAAAAAGATACTGAGAAGCATTGCTTAGTAGGCATCAAAATGTGCAGGATTATTGATATAATTATGAATCCTCATTTCTTTATTGATGCCCCTCCCCAAATTAAATTGATCTATAAGACTAATTTCATGACAAAGATTTCCATTTAATGTTGCCTAAAAGGTTTGCAAATCTTTTGTTTATGTCTTTGACTTGTTTTTTAGAACTCTTTCAAGATCTAAGTCAATTACAGGAAACATGGCTTGCAGAAGGTAAGGCAAAAAATTGCTTTCAAAGGAGGGGAAAAGCAACTCTAGAAGGGAAAGATTAAAAAAAAAAAGTCCTGAACTTGCTGTCTTAATGTTCAGCCCAATTAATTGAGCTCTAAAAGAGCCACCTCATGTGTCATGCATACATTAGAGCCTCTGATGAGTTTGTCTTTGGGGAATCTGGGACTGCACTACCCAGTGTCATCACAAATTACCAGGAGAAATTGCTTCCAGCTCACAATCACATCTGCTTTTGGCAAGAACTAATGCACCAAGACTTCAAGTTCTAAGCCTCTGTTCAGATTTTAATTGCAATTGATCAGGTTTATATTATTGTACCTCGAGAGACCTCCTAGAGCCAGAACCCGGCTTGCTGTTTCCTTTAGAGCAGCGCATATCATTATTTGGTGTTCTGGTGGAGGACTTTTCTGATGGCAGAAATTAGTTTCACTGGGTTCATCGGGACGGGATGCTTCAAGATTTAAGTGCAAGTGTCTTCTTTCCACCTTGCTCACAACACAGAACGTTAGGTGTGTATCCAATGCTAAGGGTATCTATGGCTTTAAAATAAATCTTAGGGGGATTGGAAGATTTTTTAAATGTTTTCTGTGTGTTACTATGATATGATGTTTGTTGAAATTGACTTTTGCTATTTTATTGCTTGTATTAGGATTTATTTAATGTAGCAAGGAGACATTTAAAGGCATTGCTTTTAATTTTGATTGCTTTTTGATAACATTTTGTGTTGCCATCTATTGTATCTTTTATTGTGTGAAACTTTATTTTATAGGAACAGGAGATACTGCTTCAGTGCAGCTTTATGCAACTTGAGATATGTCTAATGTTGAGGGACTTTTGTTGGCATCTATAATTTGAAAATTTCCTTTGGATTTGTTATGCTAAATGTGAAATAATAATTTTATTATATTATGTGTCTTGTGGGAAACACAAAGAGAAAATTATAGATATTTAAGCATTGAGTACAGTTGTGTTATTTCTATCCTTACGTTATATGGGAAACATGCAATTTTTGGAACAGATTTTTTTAAAGATGGTTCAAAGAAGAGAGAGGGTCTTTAAAATGGAATTGAGCATTGCTGTTGCTACTTTGAGGCAGACTGCTGTGTTTTTTCGGGTGGTCTTGCTTGTAGTTGATCAAATTGCTGTTAGCATGTAAAATAAGTTTCTTTGTGTTGCTGATATCCTAGTTTTTCCAAAGAGCTCCTACAATCTTTATGAAGCTTTTAAGTTAAATAATAGCTTTTCCAGGAGCCCTTTGAAAGAGTGATTGTACTTGTATGTTAATGAAAGTTTTAGTTATATTTAAAGGTCATTTTGCTTGTCTCTGCAAATGAAACTTACTGCAATAGGTTACTTATTATTGCAACATAAACCATGTATTCAAACATAACTTTCTCAACAAAAATCTGCACAAAGGCTCTTGCATGAACTTTTGTCTGTTAAGTTTTGCAGAGTTGAAGGTTGTAAGAACGTTACATTTATGAGGGAATTTATTCGCTTTTCCAAAATACCTTCTAATATTTATTTTAATTGTTCTGGAAGGTTTGTTGGTTCTTAAGATGTTTAAGTCTCACTGTTTCCAAGTCAGTGCACTTGCTGGCAGATTTTGAATGTGCATAGCAACTCTGTTCCTGGAATTTAAAAATATGAAACTGTGACAGACTCTTAACATTTTATAATCAGTTTCAGTGCAGTGTTTTACTTTTGACTTGTTTTATTTCTCTGTTACTCAGATAAGTGATTTGGTAATTTATCTGAGTTTATTTTAAAACTCTGCACTGAATATTCTTACCTGTGATAATTAACTTAACCTGTAAATCAGATCTGAAGATTTAGTTTTATATAAAATAAACCTAGAAAGCGATTGATGTATTTGAAAGAACATGGACTTTTATTTGGAAAATAATTTATAAGCTTAAAAAAGTTCAGGGATTAATCCTTGGAGTGTTTTATTGAATAACCAGGTGGGCTCCTTTTACAAACCATGAGTAAGACTGTATTTTAGAATAATTTAATTCTATGATGATATAAGCATTAACAGTAACTTGATTTTTTAAAAATCTAATGGTAAGAAGAAAGATGAATTTTTCTTTTTATTATTTGTTAATGGGCTGCACATTTATTTTTATTTTTAGCAATTTTACATAATTATGATATTTGCATTAGCATTTTAACTTATTCTACATCTTGATCAACATTAGCTGAGATCTCAAAATTACATTAGTTTATTCGTTGCTAGCTAGATCTGTTCATTTATGTCCTTCTGGACATCCAGAAATTAAAACATTGCCAAGCTGTCAGACTGTGAACCATTTACTTATTTCTTTTCATAATGTTTTATTTCTCAGAAGGATACCATAGAATTTAAGGCATCTTGACCCTTTAAAAAAAAAGATCATTAGCAATTAACCAAGTTTCTCCCCTGAGTAAGAATCCCATTGGAAAGTTAAACAGGTCTAAAAATTTATTAGACAGGAAAGTCAAGTTAGTTCTGATGTGTCGTAGGAATTTTTTAAAAAAATAATTAGAGTCCCTAAATACTTGGGAAACAGTACATTCTCTCAGGTTTAATTTGTTTTTTTTTTCCTATAAGACTTTTTATAAAGTAGACCCAAAGTGCGCCATTAGTCATAAGTAAATTATTATAGATTATGAAATGTGTTGTATGTCCAAGGAAAAATTTGGGGTAGATAAGGCAGGATTTGTTTGAGGGTGGGGTTGGAACAAGTCTTTTCGGTTCACTAAAGTGTTCTCCAAAAAATATACTTCCATTCCACAGCCCCCCTGCAATTTCTGAACAGGGATCAAAAGTATGTTTTTGAAGAATATAACTTTATATTAGTATCACTTTTGAAGTACTAACATTGCAATTTCAAGGTTTTTTTTTTTTTTTTTAACATATATGCCACACTTTAATCACATCTCATTCTGAAGAAAATTGAAAAGGTAATGTCTTCAGTGGCCACAGTAGCAGTTAAAAAATGGAGAATGTGCTTATTTTAAATTTTGCCAAAGCCACTTACTTATGTTGTCATTTTCCATGTACAATTCTTTATTGATTCTTTGACTTTTAAATTAGATTACCATTGACAGAAAGGCAATTCCAATTATTTGATCCATGAAATAATGAGTTCAAATGTCAATTCTAACAACATCTTGGTAATATGCTTTTTTAGTGGTGCTTTAAGGAGAGGTATCCTAGTAATTCATCGTTAAAATGGAACCTTTTATGTGTGGAGGACAGAAATAGAAGGATGTAAAAGTGAGTTAAAAGAGGCTCACATTTTTAAAAGTTACTCATTAAAGCTTACCTGCTAACACAACTTGGAGAGAAATGATACATTTCATACGTAGCTAATATAAATATATAGCAACTTTTGAGTGCTATTTTTGATGTTGGTCTAGATGTTCGTGAGGTTTCCTTTCATCAGTAGTTTTAAGGATAAATGTCAACAGTGATTCGCTCCTATTAGGGCAGAATGTTTTTCAGTTGTGATATAAGTTAAATTTCATGCTGCCATGACACTTGAGTCAAAGTTGTATCTCCAAAAATAATTTTTCTACACTAAAGATTATTATTACCTCATGACCTCATGCAGATAAGCCTTTTCCTTTTGTTTTCTGTGACCTTCCATTAATAATCAGGTTTGCTGAAAAGCAGAGATGTCATCGTATCTCCTCAACTTTAGTGGTTGATACTAAATTTATATTCAAAATCATTTATCATGAATTTCCTTAAATGATATGTGTTGTTACTCAGTATGCACAATATCACCCACAATACATAACTATTATAATGCATTTATTTTTATTTTTCAAAAATTAGACTTTCTTTTTGAAATTGAACATAAATTGGATATGTACTCATGGATTTTTTTTTTTTTCTTTCCATGTGATGCAGTTAGGAGAAAAGGCTTAAAAAGCTTTATTATTTTGTGTGGTTTAAAAAAAAAGAGGAATTGAGAATTAGACATTAAATTACAGAAGTCCATACTATTTGTTAAGAGTTGAGCAAGTCGTTATGAGGGGGCAAGAGGGAGTTTCTGCCCATCTTTTTCTCGTACCACGAAATATTCTAAATTATAAAACAAAGACTTCTGTTTGGACCTGATTAAGGGATAGCAGTTGGAATAAACATATTCTATTTCTCAGCATTTATTGACAATATATAAATGCACCTAGAGTCTATTTGCAAAATAGAAATATTTGTTAAAAATAAAATTTGGCTTTCATGTAGCCTAGATATAGTTTTGCCAGAAGGTCCTACTATATGTTAATGAAATATTACTAAGCTAATTCAGTTACAAAAAATGTGTCATTTCTTAAATTTCATAGGAAAACTTTATTCCCTTTGACCAGTGTGCAGCATTATAATTCAAATAATAATAATAACAATAATAATAGAAGTCAGATCTCAGTACCTTACCGAAAATGTTTTGCTAATAGCAACAGCTCTGAGCTATACTTAAGTTTTCAAACCTGTATAGAAGTTAAAGTTAGGAAATTGAAGTTGATTTGAGGCTAAAAACAACTAAAACTTACTGTTTTCTTTTCTCTTAGAGCATACAGAAAGCATGACTTTATCAATATTAAAGATTTTTCTGCCATGGAAGAATAGCCCCCTTTTTTGGCTCTTTAAATATATTTATACTTCTGCATTAATTAATGCTTATACATTGGTACAATCATTTTAATGTTAAAAGCGGATGTGGTGTAAAACCTGGCTTAGAGGTTTCATGATTATTTTGTTCCATGGCCTGAAGCTTCACTGTAGGATTAAACAAAACACGACTGTGTAAAGGTTGATTTTCTTGTTGTTTTATTTAAAAGAAAATTTGAATTTCTTCAGAGAAACTTGTTTCTTACCCTGTGAGAGGGAAATGCTATGAAGTTAAGCAATAGACTATTATAATCTTAAGATAAAAAGAGCATTTGAAGAATAGGCAAAAAAAAAAAAAAAAAACGGCATTTCTTTAATGCTTTGTCATTTTTCCCCCTTCCTCCTTCTTTCCTTCCAGCCTTCATCCACCCATCCATCCATCCATCCATCCATCCGTCTTTCTCTCTTCTTAGTTTTATACATTGAAGTTTCTGTGACAAGTTACCCAATAGAGCAGGATGGATTAAATGTATGTAAATGTATTTATTTAAACATATACCTTAATGGATCTGAGCCGTATTGAGATAGAGCAGTAAAATTGGTGTGTTTATATGGCAAGTTCAAGTTGACTTGCTGTAACTCTCTGGAAGGGTGTGACATGAAAAGATTGCGGTTGAGCCACATGGCTCATGCTGGACTGTGTTTTTGTGAATGGAGGCAGAACTCCAGTTCTGCCTGCTTGTCTGGAGGAATTGCCGAGGAGATCAGCTGTCTCATTCACGGGCAGAAAGAGTGACTCATAGATCTTCCGCCTTGTTTGGCTCCAGGTCATTGTTACAGTGGATAGAACTGGTTTTAATTAAATATTAACCCCTTTTCAACTTGACATTTGTTTCATTTGTGATTTTTCCACTTTCCCCCTAGCTTTAAAAGAAAACCCGACAGGCGCATAGTTTGTAAGAATAAGATGGTTTTTCCTTGTCTGCAGCCAAACTTGGAAAATATTTCAACATTCACCTTTTCTTAAGTAATGATTACTGCTTTATTCGAACGTTAAAAGCAAGCACAAAAGCAAGACAAACTGTTTAAAATTGCCTGCTCTCCACCTCACCCTCCTGCCTAGGCAATGTTAGTTAAGAAAGTATATATTAGAATTCAAAGTAAGGATTAATGATTCTGTGACAGCAAGATTGTGATGAATATTTTCATGATTTTCTTTCTCATAATATGTATTGCAATGTAATAAAAAAGAGAAGGGGGGGGAAACAACTCTCGATGGTAATCTAGGTAAAGCAAATAGCTGAGTGCACATACTACGCTTTTAAAGCCGAAGTCCTGAGGCTTGATGGTAGCTTGTCTATTAATGTGCAATGAACTGACAGAAGCGCTCCAGCTATACCAATAAAATCCACATGCTTCATCTTCTTGAAAGCCTTTTATTGGTCTTTTGGTATATACTTTCTCTTCCCCTTTCTTACTTTTCCCCTTCCTCTTTAATTACAGAGTGTGGGAAAACATTTTCATTCCCCAAAGGTGATTATTCCAAGCATAGTTTATAATAGATAGTAGTAAAATAACTATATATATATATATATATATATATATATATATATATATATATATTGAGGTTGGCCTCTATTGTTAATTTTCCTTTTTGGAGTGGGTATGGCTTGCCACAAATTTTCAGGCAGCTGTAGTTTGCTACTTCATAGAATTTTCGTGAATGGAGGCAAAAAAGGAAATGTATGATACGAGTGTGGCAATACTTTGTCATATTTTCCTTGCCCAGATCCAACTTGTGTTTTTTGTTAACTGCTTTCCCCTGACTCCAACTTGAAATCAGAGATAGACTGAAGCCTTTGTCTATTTAAGTGGCATGCTGCTGCATTTGGTCTATTCGGTTTCTTAAGATTAGCTTCTGTGAAAATGTGAGTCATATGTTTTTTGTTAAAATTCTGTAATATGTTCAGGCATAAGTGTGAAGTATTTATTCAGTATGTTAAGGAGTTAGACCAGAAATAGCAATTCTTATTCTTTTTACAAAATTGTTAGTATGTAGCTATTTTCTGTCTTTGTGAGGTATAACTTCTGATTTCTTCTCTTCCTAAAGTTTTGCCTCTGCCCCCTCCACTCTGAACAACCTCCCTGCCACCCGCACCCCACACATATGTCAACATATACTACTTATCCATCAGTTATTTTTGTGCCTTTCTTGCAGTGATGTATATCATGGAGTTGCAAATTTGTCCTATGATAGTAAGAAAAAAAAAGTCTGGCCTTTAGGACATTCATACCAGCATATTCTGTTACAAATATATTTGTTACTCACTTGCTATTTTTAACTATTCCTGTAAAGGGGTATTACATTTTTATTAGATTCTTGTAAATGTTGGCTTTTTAAAAGCACAGTAATTGCTGTGGTTGATAACTTTGCATCTCAATGGTTATCTCTGTTTAGCTGTTAATTTAGAGCAAAAACCAAAACGTGTAGATATGATAGAAAAAATGTATAGGGTTTGCTTCTGTCTGCCCACTGTCATTTGTTAGATAAATATTTAAAACATTTTTGTACTTTTTTTGGTGAAAACACTTACTTTAAAGGACAGTCCTCTACATAATTTGTGAGTCTTGGAGAAAAATGAGGCTTGCTGCAATGTCAAAAAATGATTATAACTAAGAGAATACTAATGCACAAATTTTAGCTGTGATTTTTTTTTCCATCTCCAATCTAATTCATTAGAAGTAAAAATATTAAACTTGCATTATAGTAATTTGAGTAGTACTTCCTATGTGAAAGGAAAAACATGGAGGGTGGTGGAGGTTTGGAAAGAAGAAAATATGTAACATTTTTTGAGTATCTGCTATTGTGACTGGCATTGTGTTTAGACTATTTCATTTAGTCTTCATGAAAAATATGTATCATCACTGTTAAACTGATGAGTAAAATGGAGTTCAAAGAGGTTAAATAATGTTGCACAGTTTACACAGCAGAGCATAGAAAAGTGATTTGAAAGTTGGTTGATTTGGTTAACCTTGGTATCAGATGTTAGTGGAACCTGAAGAAAATATACCTTTTCCTCCAGTACAGGCTGGTGAAATAGGCATCAGTTCTAATTTGGAAAAAATGTTCTTAATTTGTCTCACTTCCTTTAGTGGCAGGGGATGGAATTTATCTGTAATAAATTTAAATATTGGTGAACAGAAGAAAGTTGTTAGAAAATAGTTGAAGGTCCTGCTGCATATATTTTGGTAATTTGCAAGATTATCATTTATTCTGCTCTTGAAATATAACAATTTTGTTCAACAAATATGTTTTTTATAATCCTATTAAATAAGCTGACACACCAGACATTTGAATTGTGTGTATGGTTTGTTTCTTTCATATATAGAATTTTTTAAATATCGAATTTCTCTTTATATGGATTTTTTTTTTAACTCTATTGCCAACCCAAAACTTTTTCAACAAAGACTGTTTATTTTCATAAGAATTCGTCATACAGAATAGGTACTTTTAAAAAAAAGATTACATCTGTTTTAATATGACTTGATTAGATAAAAAGTTTCAGGATTAGGTAATATTAGTGAAATAATACTAGCTAATCAGGTTATACCTAAAGTTAATTAGGATGATAACTCAGTATATTTTTGCCAAATTAAAAGTGACCCCACTTTTATGTAGGTTGTGTGTGTGTAATTGTGCATATTTTTGTGTGTATATGGAAACTTGTTTTTGTAATATTATGTCAATTTGGAATAGGTTATTTTGATGCCTGAATTAACTGTGATAAAAATATTCTAGAAGTAAAAAATATACTTGTGTTTTGATTGGTGAATGCATTAAGCTCTTATTATTCGTTGTTTTATTCCTTTACTAAAGACAGGGAAGTCATTTGACATTAAGAAATAGTGGTATTCTTTTTGTTAGTGTTGAATGGTCACCTGGAAAATATTGTTAATAAAAATATGAGGTTTATTTTTATTATTATTTTTATGATTGTGACCATAATCATTGAGATATAATATTTTATTCCATATGACCAAAATCAGTGACTGTCTTTCACGTAAAAAGCTTCGTCACGTATTTTGGCCAAATTTAGGGCAAATGTTAATAATGGTGGTCTAGCAGTAGGCCAGCCACATCAAAAACAGACGTTTCTAAAAGGCAGAGGGGTTTGTGTAATAACTACACATCGTTTGAAAGAATTCTGTGATAAATTTGAATGGGCCGCTTAAACATCGGCAGTAGGCGGATTGAAATACTTCTTACTCCACTCCTGCAAAAAGAAGCACTGCAGCTAATAGAATTCCTGTAGCTGCTTTTATTTTCATGTTTCTTTTATTTCCATGTGGCAAGTAAAATGCAGAGGAACTACCGCTGCTACCATTTTATTTCTGATATATGTGTTTTCTGGTTGACATTGATGATTGCTTCTATTTCCCTTCTTGAATTTTGCTGTCAATACCATTTTAAATAGGAGCTCACTGGCAAATAATCGTAGGTTTGGTCTCAACCTAAAAAGATCTCCCCTGAGAGATTTTACTTGACATTCTTTATGCTTTGGCAGTTTCTCTCTTAATTTTCTTTTTTCTTTCTTTTTTTTCCCCTTCAGCTCAGGTACCTGACAATGATGAGCAGTTTGTGCCAGACTACCAGGCTGAAAGTTGTAAGTATAGTGTGACTCATCTCTTGAATTTGTCTTTGTCGCCTCCTGTATTCTTTCTCTGTGGCTGGTCTCTCTTCCAGTGTCTTCTTGTTGCTGTGTCCGTGCCTTTTCAGCTTACAGTCATGAGGTAACTCTTTGTCAGGTTGTGATAGCAGCAGAATTCCTCTGTGATCCGAACAGAGCTTAGGAAGACTGGTTGGACCTATTTGGTTAATATCCTTGGAGGAGAAACAGGGTGCGATCCATGAACGCTCAAGTGTTTACTTTCAGCTTTTCGGTGGGTCCTCCAGGAAAGGTCTGAACGCTGATGGGAGACAGTGGTTAAAATCCTGACGAGATTTATTGTATGACGTAAAAATCTTGGCGCAAGCATTCTTTGGCTTATTGTTTTATTTTGCATTAATGAACATTCACTTGCTCGGATTTCATTTCCATCTTCATTATCTGCTTCCTGGACACAGTGACACAAATGAAAGTTGCCATTGGCTTCCCTTAGAATCCCTTCAGTGTTTCCTTCCCTGAGCCTCACTCCAGGGCCTGTCAGAGGACGCAAGAGAAGCGATTCAGGGTTCTACCCTCTAATTGCCCCGTGAGCGTTTTGCCTGTATAAACATGGTTGCCTCAGAGTTTACTTATGATACTTATGGTTTGCCTCTATTAGCAAACTGCAGCTGTTGACCTGAGGTAAGAATAGTAAAGAAAAGGGTATAAATGCCATTGTGATCTTAAAACTGACCTAATACATTTTGTTCTCTTATTTTTTATTTAAAAAATTTTAAAAATGAACATGGTGTACCATGCCTTGGTTTTATTTATTTTATTTTTTTATCATTTTTGACTGTGCTGTGCCTCATGTGGGATTTTAGCTCTCTAACCAGGAATTGAACCGGTATCCTTTGCGTTGGAAGCACGAAGTCTTAACCACTGGACTGCCACAGAAGTGTCATTTTTGTTCTTTTAGCACCATTTAAAGCTCTAACTTGTTTCATTTTTCCAGACCATTGACAGTTTCACAGGAGGCAGTAGCAAGAGCAACAACAGATGCTTAATACCTTACAACTTATCAAACTGGTATTTTCGCACCTAATATCATAAATCTAATACAAATACCTACATTTCTTTGAGTAACAGATGTTTGCGTGCGGTGTTTTCAACTTTTATGTTTGGAATCTTCTATTTCCCAGGTGTCAAGGGTTGTAAAAGGTTTCTTCCAGATTCTCTCCCATTTTACATATTTTAGTTCAGTATCATTAAAGTTCTTTTTCATTTGCGGTAAAATATATGCATTCCAGAAAATTTATCTTTTGAACCATTTGTAAGTGTGCAGTGTGGGGCTTCCCTGTGGCTCAGATGGTAAAGAATCTGCCTGCACTGTGGGAGATGTGGGTTCAGTCCCTGGGTCAGGAAGATCCCCTGGAGAAGGGCATGGCAACCCACTCTAGTATTCTTGCCTGGAGAATCTCATGGATGGAGGAGCCTGGTGGACTGCAGTCCATGGGGTTGCAAAGAAGTGAACACAACTGAGCAATTAATACTTGGTGGCAGTCACACTGTTGTGCAAACATGAACACTGTTCACCTGAACTTTCTCATGATCTCTACTGAAACTCTCTACTGTACTTACTAAAAAATAACTCCCCACTTACCCAGCCCCCAGCTCCTGATAACTGCTATCCTATCAATTTAATTTTTAATCTGAAAAAATAATTTTCTGTGCTGTTTGGTGTCTGAATATAGTTATTAGACATAGGATTTCCAGAAACCTATTCAGCTAAGGTACAGACCTTCATTAGTGACTCTCAGAAATTCTCAGAAAGATGATGGCTAAGGATAACAACTTGGCAAGGCTTCCCCTTCTTTGATAAAGTATAGGAAGAGAATAGTCACATTTCTGCAAGTCCTTTCCTGTTAGGAACTAGAGTTCTTTCTAAATGTTCTACCTGTCATCTGAGTGGGAGAGTTAGTCTCATGGAGTCACTTTACATCTGAAAAAATTGGTAATTTTAATACTCTGCTCCCTGGATGCTCAAACTGTAAAGAATCTGCCTGCAATACAGAAGACCCGGGTTCAATCCCTGGGTCAGGAAGATCCCCTGGAGAAGGGAATGGCAACCCACTACATTATTCTTGCCTGGAGAATTCCATGGACAGAGGAGTCTGGCAGGCTACAGTCCATGGGGTCACAAAGAGTCAGATAGAACTGAACGACTAACTCTTTCATCTTTCACAAATTCCTAAAGATGGTTGTTGACACCTTATTTGCCCCCTCCTTGTTTTTCATATTCTTGGTTAATTCATCTTCTTGAACTCTGTTCCCTTGGTTCACAGCATACGATTATTTTTCTTTCTCTTTTTATTCCTCTGATTACTCCTCACATCACTTATCTACCTTCTCTCTCTTGCCCAGGGTTCTGTCTGCAAAGCTTTCCTCTTCTTTTTCTTACGCTGTGCCTGCATAGTTCCGTAGACCAATAGTCTGTATCTGTACCATTCAGTATAGTAACCACCAACCACATTCGTTACTGAGCACTTGAAATGTGGCTAATGGGTCTGAAGAAATTAATATTTAATTTATTTAATTTTTGTGATTTTAAATTTATGTGAACACGTGGCTATCAGCTACTGTAGTGGTCAGCACGGTTCTGTTGAAATAGATCTCCTACACTGTGTATTGTAGCATTGGTCTCCAGTCTGCTCCTGTCTATTGAATATCTGCCCTGGATCCACCACTGGGGTCCTTGTGCAAGTTAAAACAACACAGCACCTCTGGACTCATCCCCTCCACCCTCAGCTGAGCATCAGCATAAAACACCATTTATGCAACACCCCCTGTTTTCATTGTGAGGCTTCACTGAATGTTCACAAATCTCATTTTTTTTCTGCCCAGCATCTCTCTTCAACTTCTGTTGCCTAAGTTGATGACATCACCAATCGAAGCTGACAACCTTTAATTTATCTTCAGTCCCTCCAAGTTCTTTATCATCACTCCCTTTGGTTACCAAGTTGTTGATTCTACCTCTTAGGAGTATCTTAATTTCATGGTCTCATTTCCATTTCTCTTTCACTACCTTAATTTACACCCATATTCTGCCTCCACACTTGTGAATCAGCCTTTCTATGGGAGTTCTTGCCTTCAGATTTCCTTCTATTCTGCTCTCTGCAGTGATACTGACGCACATCCATCTGACTTAATTTTCTTTGAACTTCTCTCAGCAAAAATCCTAATTTAGCTGTACAGAGCATTGTTCTGTGACCTGGGCCTTGGATACCTTTTCAGTTTTAACTGTTGCTTTCCTAGTACCCTGTCCCTCCCCATTCTCTAAACTTGAAGCTTTCTAATTTTGCAGTTCCCCCAAAGAGTGAGCTCTTTTATGCCTCTTTACCTTTGCACATGTTCATTTTGCTTTAACATTTTTAAGATCTTTCTTTGCAGTCTGGGGCATTTCCAGCTTCAGATTCAGCTGAGACTTCATCACACTGAGATCTTTCTTGACCTTTCTTCGCATCCTTAACCTGCAGAGTTAAGACTCATGACATCTTGTATGTTTCATTTATTATTATATCTTAGATACATGTCAGTAAGACTGTGAACTTCTTGAGAATTAGGAGTGTGTCATATTCAGTATGCCTGGCCTGTTTTAGAAGCACAGTAAGTAAAATTGTCATCATAACCACAATCAGCGTCTTAGTGCTTATTTTCATTCAAGTATTTTCAAAGTCCCAATCTCCTTCTTAAGGTATAAACATATGATCATGCCTTAAAGAATATATATATAGCTTTCTTCTGGAAAACATGCTGAAACCATGAATGTTTAGCCAGGCACTTTCAGAATGCTGAAATTTTCCTTCAATTAGTGAATATTTACAGTTTAACAAATATGGCTCTGGGACTTCTGAATAAAGAATGTCATTATAAAGGGAAACCTATAAACACGAGTAAAAATAAATCTGAAAGAGTCTACTAAAAAAGAAAGTAGAAGTGCAATTTATTCAAGTTTCACTGAAATAAAGGACTATTGTTCTGATGATGGTGACCAGCTAATTTCAGTCTTTGCTGAGGATGGAACAAGAGGGATATAATTTTAAAAGAGGAGTAGGGCATATGGATTAGATTGTAAAGAAGATTTCTGGGTGGAGAAGTTGATGGAATATTGGAAGTGAAAGGCTATATTGTCTCCTAAATGCCCTTTATAAATGTCTGATACTTGTCTGTCTGGAGAAGATTAGTGGGGCAGAAGGACCCTATCTCTAGGAGCAGAAAGAAGCTACACCCTCTCTGTGTGGCCCATCTATTAATTCTATGGGGCTATTTTTTTCCATTGTGAATAATCAGATTTCCTTACATACCTCAATCAAATAAAATGCTTCTGTTTTTGCTTTTATTGCTTTAGCTGTTTGGTAAATGTATGCTAGATGAATGAATGGCAAATTCTGCCCAACTTTGTATTATAGAACATATGTTTGACTGTAACACATATAAACATATGTAGAAAAGTAGTGACCAGAGCATTCAAAAAATCTGAAAAATGGAATTAAACTAACACTTGGGTGTTTTTCTAAAAATTTTCCTGAGCATTCCTTATTTTTGTTTATAAAGTATTTCACTCAGAAACCTGGAATTTTAATGATGTCATGCTATAGTCTGGTAACCTTTCAAGGATGCTGACTTTTGAAGCATATATAGACATTAAAAACAAGTGAAAACAAACAAAAAACCACCTACAAGCCCATCCTAGGAAATGAATGGAGGCTAAGAAAAACAATTACGTGGCTTGAACAAATTGTTTCTTAGAAATGAGTCCAGAATTCAGACATTGCTGACAAAATATAGAATAACTATAGGATATACTTTCGTCCAGATGAAGTAGAATTATACTCTTTAGAAAAAAGAATTGAAAGAGTATTTAGAATATAGATCAACCTTATGTTTCCAAAGTAGATACAAATCTGTGTACACCTTGAATTTTTGTAAATCATGTTTTAAATATAATACATTGATAA